GAAAGAAAGAAAGAAAGAAAGAAAGAAAGAAAGAAAGAAAGAAAGAAGAAAGAGAAGGAAAAAGAGAGAAAAGAAGGAACGAGGGAGGGAGGCAAGGAAGGAAGGAAAGAAGGAAGGAAGGAGGCAAGAAAGGAAGGAAGGAAGGAAGGAAGGAAGGAAGGAAGAAAGGAAGGAAGGAAGGAGGCATGGAAGGAAGGAAGAAAAAGGGAAAAGGGAAACCTCTTAAGTGTCCAACATAGAGGTTAAATGGTTAAATTATGGTACATCCTTTTAATGGAATATTATGCAGCCATTAAAGTTCATATATGAGAGAACTTCATGACAAAGGAGATTATTCACAGTAAATAGTGAAAGAAAGAAAACAAGTTTCAAAATGGTATAACTGTGATCCTAATTCAGGAAGGAAAAAGCATATATGGATAAAAATGTTGAGGCATTCTCTCAGAACAGAAGTTTATGGGAGGTTTTCCTTTCTTCATTGTGATGTTTTAGATTTTTTTCTCAACATTTTCAAATACAGACAAATACTCTGTAGAAAAGAGAAAGCTTTCCTATGGCCTATAAAGTATTCCCAGGTGATTTATATTTCAGTTGCTAATAGGTAGAATTGAGGGATCTGAACTTTGAACCTAAATTTTAATAAATGCATTGTTTGAAATATATACTTTTTAGGGGCGCCTGGGTGGCTCAGTCGGTTAAGCGTCCGACTTCAGCTCAGGTCACGATCTCGCGGTCCATGAGTTCGAGCCCCGCGTCGGGCTCTGGGCTGATGGCTCAGAGCCTGGAGCCTGTTTCCGATTCTGTGTCTCCCTCTCTCTCTGCCCCTCCCCCGTTCATGCTCTGTCTCTCTCTGTCCCAAAAATAAATAAACGTTGAAATATATACTTTTTAGTATAAACAAACACCCTTCTGCTTCTATTTTTTGTAATACTTTCATTAAAAGAGATATCACTGTTTCTCAAATGCCTTTTTTAGTATCAAGATGACCTTGTTTTCCTTGTTAAACCTACTGTTGTACTCCATTGTATCAGGACATGCCCTTGTAATGACCCATCCATGCATTGCTGGAATAAAAGACCTATGTAGTCCTAGAGGGTGGTCACCATGGACCGTGGACAAGTTACTCACACTCTGGACCTATTTCTTCACCCATAAAAGGCTTCCTCACAGGATGTCATGAGGATTAACTAGTTAGTATATGTAAAGCACTCAGACTACTGGCTGACATATTGGAAGGTCTGTATGAGGGTTGGGTTATTGTCTTATTAAACGTTATTATTAATTTATTTGGTGTCTTCTTACAGTATATTTGCTTGTTTTTCATTTAAGATCTGTATTCCTAAGAGAGCTTGGCCTATAGGTTTTCTGTCTTTTTTGTTTTTTTTAATGATCTCTTGATCAGTTTGAAGTATCAAGGTTATGTAAGCTTTATGAAATGAACTGGGTAGCTGCCCATCTTTTGCAATGTTCTGGAACAATTTCTATCGCTTACATTTACTTCAAAAAAGGAAATACCACCAGTCAATTATACCAAATGGTTAGCATGCCAAGTTATAGAACATGATCCAGCTGCTAATCATACCAGTATTCCCAGCTATGTTACAATTTGGGCATAATAAATGCAAGTCATTTAATTATATCATTTTCAATTTAATGCCATAGACATTTATGAGATATATTGTTCAATGAGAAAAAGAACTTAGAGAACAGCCTGTGAAATATGACCCGGTTTTTCTTTACAATTCACTTACAGACTCGAATGTGTGGGTGTGAGCCTGAACCTGAAAGCTGAGTGATCATTTCTAAGAAGGGCTAGTAATTAAGGTAATTTTAAAAATTGTTTTCTCCCTTTTTGTTCACCTGGGGTGGTTGTGTGTGTGTGTGTGTGTGTGTGTGTGTGTGTGTGTGTGTTTACATTGAATATGTATTATTCACGTAATCAAAAGCCAAAAAGACATTTTAAATTTCTATGCAAATTTATGGTTATCTACTCACTATAGACAATGTTCTTGACCCTGCGGGGATGAAAAAGATCCGTGCAATCCAGTCCCTGCTCTCAGGAAGTCTGTAATCTACATCTGGATGAAGTGGAAACAGACGAGGATGACATAGTTGTACAGGAGTACAAGAGCCAAGAGCTGGAGGTGGGGTGACCGACCAGCCTTCTCAGTTTGCCTAGGATCCGGGGCTTTTCTGGGATACCAGTCTTCTCAGGGCTAGAACGCAGACAGTCCCAGGCAAACAGGGTGGTCACCCTGGCTGCAGGACCCTGTGGCCCAGCAGTGCTGACCCAATGTCCATGTGCTTTCCTACCTTCTCCACCCTCCTGTGTAGGTCATTCCAGGCCCTGTGATTGAGCTCCCACCACTGGAAATGTGAGCGGAAGTGATGAGGCTGCTAAGAGTGGGCAAGCATTCTCCAGACCTGCCCTTTCACCTCCTCACCCCTGGAAGCAGACACTTCTGAGATGACAGAGTGGACAGACAGAAGCAGCTGGGACCCCTGAGTCACTGTTGGGGAAGAGTTACCAAGGTGAGCTGCCTGACTCACGTGAGACTGTGTGGCATGAGAGGCAAATAAGTGGGTCAAGCACCTGAGATTTCAGGACTGATTTGCCAAGGAGAGCTTGATGACATCCTGACATAAAATAAAGAGCAAAGGCAAGATATTAGGGAAGACTTCATAGGAGAAGCGACGTTTATACAAAGCATGAAAACTGGGTAAGATTTCCACATGCATGGTGGGCAAGGACAGTTCAGGCAGAAGCCAGAGGAAGTAGACAGGGCAGAGCTGGAAGTAGTTCAAGTGCAAGAAGGAAGGGTTCCTGTGTTGGGAGATCAGGTTCAAAAGGTTGGTTGTGCTATTTGAGGAAGGCCTCGCATTCTTCCCAGAAGTGTGAGCTTTATTCCAGAGGGAATAGACAGCAACTGGACATTGCCAGCCATGATGCATCACAACCGGAAGAGTGCAAAGGAAATTTTGGGCAGAGGTGACACCGGAGTGGAGCCGGGGGTGAGACCAGTTTGGAGGTGATGACAACTATCAGTAGTCCAGCCTGGAAGGAATGAAGGCCTAACCTAGAGCAAGGGTTAGAGCAACATTTGGGAAACAGAAATTGATAGACTTGCTGGCTCCTAATTAGAAGGTCTCACAAAGGGAGAAAGAAGTTGAAGATGATGCTGAGTCTCCCTTCTGCTGATGCTGTTCCCAGAAACAGGGAAGCAAGGACAAGTAGCAAGCCTAGGAGGGAACATGACAAAAGTAGGTTGGGACATGTTAAAGCAGGAGAAGGGAGAGAAGAGGGTGATAGATGCTGAGAAAGAGAGGTCGCAGAAATGGGGAGAGAAGCAGGAGAGCACAACATTCCAGAAATCCAAGGAGGAGAGAATTAAAAGGAAGGAAAAGCGGACAAGAGTGTCACAGCCAGTGGAGAGGTCTCAGCCAATGGACCAAGGACTGAGAAGGGACCGTTGACTGCTGCGTTGAGGAAGTTCTTCAGAAGGTCATTTCACAAGGTGACTGATACAGAAGGCAAATAAAGATGATGATCGGTGATGGAAGTGTCATGAATGATAGGAACACGGGAATTCATGTTCAAGGCAGAAGCAGCTGGCTAGCCTGCTCCTTTAACTCAACAGGTAGTTTCGAGCTCCAACTATTTGTTAGGCCTGGTATCTGAAGAATGTAATGATGAGCAAGATGTGCTTGCTGCCTCAAGGAGCTTGTAATCCGTGGGGCAGAGAACAGACCAGGCAGTTTCAGTACCATCAGGTAAGTGCCAAGATGGGCTGTACAAGGTGCTCTGACTGTACGTACAGGGGCCTGTTCTGGTTTCTGGGAGTGAGGGAAGGCTTCCTGGAGGAAGTGCTTTGAAAATCTGGTCTGTCAGCATGTGAGCCAGGAAGTGTGGGGGTTGGTCAGCCAATGACACAGGCAGAGGGGAGCAGGCGGAGACAGCGTTTCAGGCCATGGACTACAACAGGCGCAGAGGCCGGAAAGAGAGCAGCTGACACTTTCCGGGAACTACACATAAGTCTGGTCCTGGCTGGAGCTCGGTGCTAGGAAATGCAGAGGTGAGGAGGGGTGAGTTGTAAGTGTAGGGTCAGGAAGGACCATTTAAAGAAAGGAGAGGAACAAGGGAATAGCTTGAAGGTAATGGAACTAGGCTGGAGTGTGGCTCACTGAACAAGAAGAGGCCAGGGAAATGGGCAGGTTAAAGGAGAGCACATCGTCGGGTTGTGGGGAGACGAAGGGCTGGGCAGGGGAGAGAGGCCGACATGGGGTGGGGGGGGGTGGGTCAAGGTGCAGTGTGGCAGCTGAGGACAGACTCTCGTCCTCCCTACAGGAGAGGAAATAAACAGTTCCCTGGGGTTAAGAGGATCCCTCCAGGGATGGTGGAGGGTGGATGAAAGGAGGAGTGTTGAAATAGCAGCTGCAGGGTCTGTGACAGGGCGCCAACTAGGACGCATTAAAGGCTTGCTGCAAAGTAACAAGGCCCCAATATTTCCGAGGGCCTTTATCAGCTACAGGAAGTGAAGTTTGGTCTCTTCTCTAAATATTTATTAAATGTAAATGCTAGTACTCTCGAGATACCCCTCCCCACTGCCTGGGAAAGGAGAATCTGGTTTCCACTGGTGGTTTTCCTGTGTGCCCGGGAAGTTTCCCATTCCCTGCTCCAAGCCTCGGAGCCCTCCAGCTGGAGCTCAAGGCCTGCCCCGCCTACCTCCTGTCTGAGGGGACAGGCTGAGCCAGGCCTTCCCACAAGTGGGATCAAGGCGACCTTTCCCGGGGTGCTCTGTGAGGCTGAGCTGCCCCCACTGGAGATGACTGTTCTCTTCCATTACAGTCACTACTTGGGTCAACAGAGTGACTGGAAAAACAACTTTTAAAATGTAACCTTCCAGGAGATCAAGTCCCAGGTCAACAGTGACGGGCCATGTTGACAGGAGTTTCCCTGGATGTGGTGAGATGAGAAGGCACTTGCCCTCCGTGATCTTTCTCCCAAGAACATATAACCCTGCTGTAATCACAAGGAAAACATCAGACAAATCTCGGCAGAGGAGCATCCTGCAGAATACCTGATAGGTACTTCCCCCAAACTGACCTTGAGGTCAGCAAGGACAAGGAAATTGAGAGACTGTCACAGCCAGAAGGAGCCTGGGGAGACATGAGAACTAAATGTGACATGGTGTTGGGTGGGATCCTGGGACAGGATCTTGGGTGCTGGCTTACTCTGCTGGTCCAGCCCTGGTCTCTCCCGTCCAATTTGAAGGTGGCCCCCACCTGCCTTGACCTTTCCTCCTCAGCCACAGCACAGTCTTCCAGCTGCCACCCTGACACTAATTGTCTGGCCCCTGTGCTTCCTAGATCTGGAAGATTCCTTCTAGAGCAACCCCCATTTTATGTGATTTCCTTTTGTTTTAGAAAAGGTTTCTTTTCAGAAAAGTACGATGCATAATCTAGCACACCCGCTTTTCCATGAAACGGGATGAACAACTGTTGGTATTTTGTCATCTTTGCTTACTGAATTTTTCCTATGTGTACGCCTTTTAAAATTATACAATATATGCTTAGATTCTTTCTTAAAAAGTAAAATATTGGGGTGCCTGGCAGGCTCAGTCAGTAGAGCATGTGACTCTTGGTCTCAGGCTCGTGTGTTCAAACCCTGCATCAGGTATAGAGATTACTTACAAATAAAATCTTTTAAAAAGTGTAAAAACAGGAGCACCTGGGTGGCTCAGTCGGTACAGCTCTTGATTTCAGCTCAGGTCCTAATCTCACTGTTGGGGAGATCAAGTCCCACATCAGGCTCTTCAATAATAGCAGGGAGCCTGCTTGGGATTCTCTCTCTCTCTCTCTCTCTCTTTCCATTCCTACCCCTCTCACACACGTATGCACATGCACACTCTCTCTCAAAATAAATAAATTTTAAAAAATAATAAAAAGATAAAAACAAAAAGTAAAATATTGCTGATAGAATTCTCCTGAGCCAACCTAAGTCTACTTTGCTTTCCCCTCCTTCTCCTAAACCAATCACCATCACTCACTATCACTGCTTTGATTTAGTCTTTTGGTTCTCTCTCATACACGCACATCCACAAACAATATAGGATTCTCTTTTGTGTGTGTGTTTTCATTTACATAAATGTTATCACATGCTGTGACTTTCCTTTTTCATTCAACATAATGATTTTGATCTACATCCATATTGAAACATATAAACCTAGCTTATCCCTTTTAAGCATGGTATATATTCCATCAAGTAAATAAAGTGAAAAAAGTAAAAGTAAATAAAAGCACATTTCACCTATCCATCCACTCTTGATTAAGATGTAGACAGGTTCCAGTTTTTCACCTCTGCCATGAATATGCTAACGCATGCCCCCTTCTGCACATTAGAAGAGTTTTCTGTTGGGTATTTAACTAAAAGGACTGCCGAGTTCAGTCTTTGTATGGCTGAGGGATGCTTTGATGAGCCCAGCTGCCTTTTCTTTTGGGATCATAGAGAAGGCCTCCAATAAAGAACACTCCTCTTCCCTACTCAAGTTTTGAATAAGCTGGATATAAAACACAGAGCCAATAGAAGCCAATATGGCACTATTGTCGCTGATTGAGCCACATTGGAGGAGGGAATAGTGGAGAGCCACATGGGCCTGCTAAGGAAAGCCCATTCTCAAGCAGAGTACCACCCATCACAGACAGCTGGGACCAGGGCAGGATCCCCTCACACCTGTCTTCCCAGCCACCCAGGGGCCAACCCCAGAGGAGCACCAGAATGCATGACCCCTTAGAAGTAGCGTACCCTCAAGAGGATTAGAGCAGTCAGTCC